CCATTTTTTCATGTCCTTACTAGACACAAACTATGATAAGATATTTTGGCTGGTTTGATGATGTGTCCGGAGGAGAACATGTTTTGTGTTGGTGAGATGAGAAAGGCAAGAAGATAATGGATATCTATTATTGCCTACTTCTACTCATGATTGACACCACTAAGATATGCTCTCTGTTTGAGAAAATTTTGGTGCAAATGAGAGAGCTCACAGGGACTTGGCTACTTTAGTCTTTTGCACGCGGTCGTATAAGTAATATAATGATTGGAAGCAGTTGGATGTAGAATCCACAAGGACTTATGATTAACTGTTTACCAAATTAAACTAGTTCTAATAATTTATTTAAGCTATAAAATCTGAAAATTTGTTTGTGGGTTGACTAAACTAAAACCAAAAAAGAAAATAACTAAACATAGTTTTGGTTAACATAATAAAAGACAAATTCCAGGGAAACGACACTTCTATGTACTCATTTGTGTCTACTGTCTACGCCTTTGTTCTCTTGCAAATCACTGATATATTAGCTCCCACAAATGCATTTACATCTCCCGTATATGAGTCAAATAGGCCAAACTAGGTATATTCCTATCCTAGCTGCAAACCCGCTTCCCCAGGTTCACATCCTATTCTATTTGACCCTCATTTTATCTGAACTTTCCTCTCCCGAGTTCTGTTACGGAGTTTAAATTTATTCTACTAGAAACCACAAAATCAAATAAATGTGGCCATTGATTCTACTACTAGATATATCCGCAAAGACATGCTTATTTCTTCATACTTGGACATTGTCTTGAGCATTTTGCCTACAAAATCCACATAGCATGTCAATTAATCCTATAACGCGAGAAGGAACAATAGTTAGGAGTATTTAACCTGTTTACTCTCAAAACAGGGTATAAACGTGGGTGAGATATGGCTAATAGACGTATAAATGCGCCTAATATCAGTCACGAAGATCATTTTGTTCCACTTTAGTACAATAGGGAAGGATATTCCATTAGTAATGAAAAAAGGGGTGGAGGGGATCTTTATATGTTGTTCAGGATGCATATTGTGTTTATAAATTATGTCAAAAGACTCAAAAGCTGAGTGGTTTGATCGTTTCTACTTTGTTTGGGAAATACAGGTTTTGGCAGGACATACAATTGAAGGAACTAATGGCTACAGCAGAACTCTGCTTGGCACCCGATCATTTGCTACCAAGCATTCGTTTTCTACTGACAAAGGTCTGTGCTAAGCTCTTCGGTCCCCACTCCAATCCCCAAGTTGAAATCCCCTTTATAGTTTGCACATCGTAAAATATAAAGTATTTGTATTACGGACCTAGCCTAGACTCATGTTATATTGGGCTTAGGCGCTACAGATGAGGGCCCAGAGGCCAGAGGTGCATGGTTTTTGATCTCCTAGATTTCACATCAATGTGCTGTGTAGTATATGACCTCTACAATCAAGAAAAATTATATTAATGTTTTGTGGTGTGCGGATGTCCATATTAACTATCAATTGTGATTAAGGACAAAATGAATTTGGCTTTACTGGTATCATGATACCTATTCCAGTTGTACAATGTTGCAAGTGGAATCTAATTAGTAGATTCATTTTGTAGAATAAATGATTCTAGTTATCTTTTCTCATGCATCAGATGATGAAGAAAGAGAGCAGCTAGCAAAGGAGTTATCAAAAGATTGGAATTCAGGTAAAGACTTCACATTTTGGTTTCTCTGCACTGCTACATGCATTATTGAGGTGCTGAATGTTAATGAATAAATGCAGTTTTTGAGCGAAGCATCAATACATTATTTTTGACTGAAATGGTTCGAGGTTTAATGTTGACGCTGAAGTACTTCTTTGAGAAGAAAGTAACGGTAAGTCTCATTCTGGATCGATATTTTATATCTCTGTCTTTTTTTTCTTCCTGTCAGCCATCTGCTGATTAGCTGTGGTCCACCTAATTAAACCATGGTTGAATTTTAGATTTTATGGTGTCTCTCCATCAATTGAGCAGAAAATCCAATAACCATTTTCACTGTGCAGATTAACTATCCATTTGAGAAGGGTCCTTTAAGTCCTCGTTTTCGTGGAGAACATGCTCTTAGGCGTTATGCAACTGGAGAGGAAAGATGCATTGCGTGTAAACTTTGTGAAGCTGTAAGTGCTAGTTTGAAATGACTTATATCAGCTGTAATAGTGATAGTCATTTGCCAGTGGGGCTTTGCTGCTTTCGCCTTGCGGTAAAGGAAGTACAATGTGAAATATGTGGTATGTTCATGTCCTTGAATTTAAACCCAGCTGATGACTAAAACCTGGTGCTTAAGTGGGAGGAGGGTGGAGGGATGGGCCTATTCTCTCCCAAGTGTTGAACCTATACACCAACTGGAGCTGGGTTAGCTAAAGCACAGGGATTTCTCAGTTATCAAAAAACGAAAAAGAAAATGAGAGTGATAATCTTATTTTTTGCATCCTGCTTACATTGATAGCTGTGGGTTACCCTCATGAAAGTATGGTTCATGTCATTTAAATGCATGCATAGGCATGGTTACTATCATGATACAGAGGAAAGTAGAATGTGAAAGTTGATCTTTCATTTTTGTGATTGATATTAATTGTTTGTGTCTTAGCTAACTGCTATTTTAGTTTTCTAGGGAGTGTATGCACTTAAGCTTACAAGTCTCAATAATTCCTCTAACTGTGCTTCCCCACAAAAAAGGGTGTAGCAAAATCGAGGTAAAGTAAAGTTAAAAAATGGCCAAGGATTTTGGTCTAGTGGTAAGATCTCAACATATGATATGTGAATTAGGTGCACATCACAGGTTTAATCCAGCCGTAGACGAAAGCAGTGTTTAAGTGGATAAGGTAGAGGGGTAGGCCCAATATCCACTGAGTTTAGAAACATGCACCACTTCGACCCTTGGGATTTCTCGATTATAAAAAAAAATTCACAATGCCCAAAAGATGATTCGATACAATGTAATTAGTTTATTGCATCAACCTTGAAACATCTCCTCTTCTCCAGATCAAGTATCCTGATCAGTTTGTATGGTTATTAAAAGGGAGAGTTGACAATGCATGCTTTACAATGTTGCGAAAGCAGTGACTATTACAACATTCTCGTCTGGGAAGAGTGTGCAGTTTATAGAGCAGCTCCAAGAAGTGTAAAAGCAGACGATCACGTAAATTTTATTTATACAATGGTCTCTAGTATGGTCAATGTTTATACTTCCTTAGTTGGCATTGCGACAGCCCAAACTAGAAAGTAAGAGCTGCCATAACCAGTGATCTTTTATCCTTTCTTCAAAAGGTTGTTGTGTCCACCACTGTGAACGATGATGCTGCCAGATTATGTGACTTGTGCGATGATTTTCTTGCATACTTCAGTTCTATATGGTATGATTTGTCTTAAAAACTGAAACAAATAAAATTTGAATTTCAACAGATTTGCCCTGCCCAAGCCATCACCATCGAGGCCGAGGAGCGAGAGGATGGAAGTCGTCGCACAACTAGGTAGATGATGGTAGCTTTGTCCACATCATACTACTAGCTATTAGGAGATCCATCACCCATGCTTATCTGTAGATTGAATTTTACAGGTATGATATTGACATGACAAAATGCATTTACTGTGGATTCTGCCAAGAAGCCTGCCCTGTTGATGCAATTGTTGAAGGACCCAACTTTGAATTTGCAACCGAAACTCATGAGGTTTGTTGAATCAAGTAAATTAACTTTGTAGCAGAATTAAGGTTGATATGAATAAATATTGTATATCCTGAAGCATGGAAAATGTGTATGATAACTACACGTCTGTATAACTAACGTATTGCTTAACCCATTAGGAACTTCTTTACGACAAGGAGAAGCTTCTCGAGAATGGTGATCGATGGGAAACTGAGATTGCCGAGAATCTGAGATCCGAAAGCCTCTACCGCTGAGTAGTTTTGGTTAATTTTGAGTTTTGATACAATGAAAGATTCTAGCTTCTGAGGAACTAATAAAATAAAGGGATCTACTGAAGGATGTTCTCTTTTTGTTGTTTCCGTTGCCTTTCCATTATTGAGAGTATACATATTGATTGGTGAAAATATGAAACATCTCTTATTATATTTGATGACATTTTGTGAAAGGTTCTTGTTCATTCAAGTTTCTGTGAAACTAAACAAAAACATGGCGTCTCTTTTAGTTTAAAGGACATTGGTGTTTATTGTATGAGACGTGTAACTCCTCTATTTGTTCATTACTTCCTTTTTGTACACCATGAAAGTGAAGTAAATTCAAATGAAACGTTGGGTTATTACAAGCATACATACTATTAACTACTGTACTAATAAAAAATAAATAGATTAGAACAGGAAAAGCTTCAGATTGAAAAAATAAAGCTGTTGTAGAAAATGGAGTCGATGACCGATTCAACAATATAGTGTTTATTTACATTTATACAATTTTTTTTATTAAGAAAGAGGCTTTCTAATTCAAATGAGATTAACTATTACTAAAAAATTAATCATCTACAGACAAATTATTCCTAGATATGATCGTTTGAAAATATTTCAAGAGAATTATCCAAATGTCAAAGATGGTAATTGGTAAGTTTATTATATCAACTGAAAATAATTCAACAAGAGGTTCAAATATTTTTTCATATATACGCGAAACACGTTTAGTAAAATAAAGATGACTTCAAAGTAAATGTGACATTAATATTCAGTAACTTGCCACTGTTAACCTTTTTAGACCCTCTTTCAATTTTGTGTTTTCATGCTAAACCTTTCCATTCATTTGAAATGTCATTTTTTACATAAAGAAATTTTAATAGTTTAATTAATTGATTATTTGTATTTTCGTTTCAAATCACATTTTTTAAAATAAAAAGACAAGTTACAACGCAGAGAGGAGTGAAATTCATCATTTTCCACCTTCTAGACACGTGTAGGCCCTCAAATTGCCCATACTTTAGAGAGCAACAATATTCCACTTCCACATATATTCAAAAAAAATTCTCGTGGTGTTTCAAAGTAACTTTTCCGCAAACACTCTGCACAAGTCCACACACACGCAAAGAGACACAACCAGATCTACTCTATCCCAACTTCATTTTTTATTTTTCTAGAGATAGAAAGACAAAGAGGAGGTCATAGGCATTTACCGCGCGTGCTGATGGATGAGAAGTTGATACAGCGATTGGAGTCCGCCGTGTCAAGGCTGGAGGCGCTTTCAGTCGGCGGCGGTGTTTCACTTGGAGATGGAGAAGCTGCGGCGGCTTTAGATCCATCCATTATTGCATTTGATGATCTGAGGTCACGGTTCGTCGGTAGAGTTTGCACTGCTGCAGAGAAGATTGGTGGACAGGTTTTGGATGTCACTAAGATTGTTGAGGAGGCTTTTGAAGCTCAGAGAGAACTTCTTATCAAAATCAAGGAAACTCAGGTTAGCTTCTAAGTTCTAATTAATCTGCAATGGATAGAAAGGATTCCTATATCTGATTCTAATAAGTTCGGGATATGCTGATCGTAATCAGAAAATTACAATTGATTTATTTACAGTCACTGTCTGGTATACAATTTGATTGTGTTAGTATACAGTTGAAGAGTGCAAGTGATATTTTCTTAGGTTTGTCTATTCAATGTAAGTAGAACAAATGCGAGGACTTATATAGCATGTACCTTTTTGTTTTCTCGTTGTTGTATTTCATGTTCTTTGTGCATCATGAGAGTGAAAAAGCGCGAGTGATTCTTACAGTATATGAGTAGTCTTACATGGAGGGTAGGGAGACTCATTCCAGGTGCATCAAGGTGTTAGTATTCAAGAGTTGGATAAGGTCTTATTGCCGAGTTTCTGCTAATTGAAACGGTTATGAGGTTTCTCGTTGGATTGGACTTGTAATTTCTCTTGAAAGAATGGTTAATTTGGAGCATAAGAAGTCTCATTTCAACTTCATTATTAAGATAGAGCTCAGAAGCACAATAAGTTTTACTGGTCACTTCTGTATCCAAAAAAAAAGGAGTCTTATTTGTAGCTTTCGCAGTTCTGCTAATTGAAACTATCATGAACTATCTAAGTTTTTGGACTGACTTACATTTTTTTTTTCATAAGAGGTGTTCAATTTTTCACTTTGAGATTGTCCAAAGCACATGAAGTGTAATTACTTATGCAATTATACGAAATCTTTCAAGTTTGTCTCTTTTTATTTAACGTGAGACACATACTGCTGCTGTAGACTGGTATAGAGACCATCTGTCAAGTAGTATATCTAAAAACAGAAAAGAAAGTAGTGTGCTATTTATTTTATTGAAAACAAAGTGAAATAGGGACTTTGAGGTGTTGTGATGATGCACTCTGATTAGCACAAGAATCTGTTCCATGTTTGAAATATACTGCTTCTTACACTGCTGATGTGATGCTCACGTTTGGTCTTCATCTGCAGAAACCTAGCATGTCTGGTTTGGCTGAATTTCTTAAGCCTCTGAATGATGTGATAGTGAAAGGTACTAAAATGACAGAAGGACGGCGATCTGATTTGTTCAACCACCTGAAGGCTGCTGTTGATAGTCTAACAGCCCTGGCATGGATCGCATACACTGGAAAAGATTGTGGTAGGATATTCTCTATCTTCTTCGCTTTGTTACTTACCAGTCCAGTTTTTGACGATGCTGGTCTCCTCTAGGTATGAGTATGCCTATTGCACATGTGGAAGAAAGCTGGCAGATGGCAGAGTTTTACAATAACAAGGTAAGTAGACTTTCTCTAGCTGTTCACTTTTTCTTCTGATCATTCTCTTGGTTGAGTCTTTGAAATATTTTTGTGCCACCTGGCCAACATTAGGTGAAAAAAGGAACCATGATTACTTATATTTCGTTCATAGATCCATTTGCACTTTTTATTCTTCTTGCCATATGCCCTCTTAAGCACTTTGAAGAAGTGAATGCTAATTTTGGTGCTTTTGGAATTTTATAGGAAATACTTAACTCTCAAAATTGTTTTTGTATATCAGTTTCTAGTGTTTAGTTGGGGTAAAATTTGTAATATATGATAATAGTAGGATAGGGTACAAGGATAGTGTTCTGGTGATATTATTATTGAAGGTTATTGTCAATTTCTAAATAGTCGGCGCATGACATGAGTTCAAACCCTGCCACAAACAAAAATCTGGTCTTTTAGTGAAGATAGGGTAGATGGGAGGGTCCATTATCCTCCAAGTTTCCGACTGTGTACAGCTGGCCCTCAGGGAATTCTCGGTTATCAAAGAAGTGGTTATTGAAACAAGTTATATGGAGTAGACTTGGGTGTTTGTAAGTGAAAATGGATTCACTGATGTGATGGAGTCGTACTTCTTCGTTTTTAACGGAATGTATTTTCTTCAGAGTAACTGGACATGCAGAACATTTTCCTTCTTACTAAAGCTTTTTGAATCAAAAGAAAAATGAGCTTTATCAGAACCTTGTTAGCTAGTATGTCGGTAATTCTTCATTTGGCACTTCATGAAACTTAAAATATGTGCTTGTATAACATTTGAGGAATCTTGTGAGATGATTTGTAATAGAAACCATGTTTGTTCTTTCTCATTGAAAACCAAAACACAAACATAATTGGGTCACATTTGAAATGGAGCTGGTGATTGGGGACCTCTCTGGTCCACTGTTTCTCTTTCTTATTGATGATTGGAAACAAGCAATCTTACCTAGGATTTTCAAATAGCAGAGTTAGTACAAAATGTATGGTAGACTCATATTACAAGGACGGATTTTAAACCGTGAATCTAGCCTGGTATTTGAGTAGAGATGTCAGTAGAGTGGGGGGTCCAATATCCATCGAGTTTATAAGTTGGAAACACGGACTTCTTGGTAATCAAAGAGAAGAAAAAGAAAGACGTACCATGAGTGTTTGTTTCAATTTGTAATCTTACCTCTCTTAAAGAAAAGGTTGTCGCAATTTGAAGTGAAGACTGAGGGCATCTAGAAGAGTGGAAGAGGATGGGAACTCAACCTCAAAGGAGAGAGGAGAGGCTAAAAGGCCCAATAGCAGCCATGGACAACGAGAATGATTTTGAGTTCTCTAAGGGCCTGTTTGGAAAATCACTTGGTAATTGGATTGGTGTAATTACTAGGGTAGTAATTACACTGACCTGTTTGGTTGCCACAATGTTTGGATGCCACAGTGTAATTACACAAATTTTCTTTGAATGCACAATTGCAATCATAAATTATAATAAATTTTAAAAATAAAATTTAACTATTTAAAATTTATACTAGACAAATAAGAAACTTTATAAATGACATTAAATTATATATATGTAATTAATAAACATATTTACAGTAACTAATGTTATGAATTTTTTTTTTATATTTTTTCAAATTAAAATTATTTCAATTGAATTGATCGTAACAACTAGAAGTATGAAATTTCTGCGAGCATTGTGAAATGCATGTATGATAAAAAGAAAAATATATAATAAAATGTCATAAATTATTAAATGTTTGACAAAAATATACTCTATCAAGTCTAATTAAAAAATGAAGTGCAATGTAAATTCAATATTACTAAAACAAATGAACTGAAAATATAAAATAAGTTATAAATTCAAAACAAAAAATTTAACATAGTACTCTCATAAAAAATTCAACATAGCAATAAGTATGATTTACTTTTATTTTTTCTTAGTAAAGAAAACTTGAAGTCTATAACCTTACTTAATAATAAATATTATTTTAATTTAAAAATTAGAATACTAATGAGAAAATAAGCATGACATAAATAAATAGATAATACGAGAAAATTACATAGAATCACGTAAAGTAAGGTTGAGAACAAGAAGAAATGAAATATAATAATATAAAATAAAAAATAAACTTTTACAAAATTTTAGAATAATAATAATAAAAAAGAAGAACTTAAAATAGCAAAAGTATTAAAAATAATAATAAAGAAAAAGTAATCAGGTGGTGAATTGTAGAGTGTGATTACACCCTGCTAATTACACCAATACCTATTGACCAATTAATTACTTGTCCTTCCATACAGGACAAGTAATTAATTGGTCAACAGGTATTGGTGTAATTGGCAGGGTGTAATCACACTCTACAATTCACCACCTGATTACTTGGCAAGAGAGGTCGAACTTATAGCTTATTGTGTCTGGAAGTGTTCCCAAACAAATATAACATCCACTTTTTAAGTTAAGAAAAAAATCATTGTTTAAGACATTCTCCTGTTCCCTTTCTTTGCTTTTGATTAATGAATAATCCCAATTATCTGGGATAGATGTGTAATTGTTGGTGTTGATTGATTAAACGAAGGAAGTAGTTATTATATGTAATTTCTTAGTCAGTGGTGTTCATGCCCCAACTTGCACACACCTCAGCTAATTCACCTTTAAACCTGTTAAGCCCACAAGTATAAGTTGCCAAAGTAATCCTGCTTGTCGAGATCAGAGCAGATAGGCTCACCCCTAATGTCATAGCTGGAATTTGAACCTGGAAGCTCTAGGTTATTACTGAGTTGCCTCGACCACTAGACCATCTCCTAGGAGACTTACAAATGTACCTTTTATTTTTGTTTCCATAATTTTTGTTCTCGAAAAGAGAACCAACAACAACAACAACATTCCTAGTGAAATCCCACAAAATAGGGTCGGGGGAGGGTAGAGTGTACACAGACCTTCCCACTACCTCATGGAGGTAGAGAGGCTGGTCTGGAAGATCTACTGCTCGGTAGAGAGGCTGGTCTGGAAGATCTTCTGCTCAAGTGCATCAATCCTAAATAAACGAAGAAAAAAACTAGTGGTGAAAGCATAATGGTTAATAAGAAAAGCAAGTATAAAGTCTACGGAGAGAAACAATTATAATAGCAAAAAGTGTAAACAACATATGACAAGAAATACAAAGGGCATGACTAGTTCTACACCAGGCACTAAACCTTGCAAGGCAAGACAATACTCTCACTCTTCTACCCTTCTACCCTTATACTCAACCTCCACTATTTATTGTGTTGCCTTTAGCTAGAGCAAAACAGTACTGTAAGTCCATATTCAGTTCCAGATGGAGAAGGATTTTTGCTTCAAATTTTCTTCTGAGTTCAAAGATCATATTCCAATTTTTATGCTCTGTTATTTGGTTGCTTTTTATGTATGTTGTTTTCCCCCTCAATAATTTATCAGGTGGTATAATAGTGCATAATATAAAATGGCATACTATTCTAACTTCTATTAAATTTCATGATATATAGGTCCTTGTGGAGTTCAGAAACAAAGACCCAGATCATGTTGAATGGGCAAAAGCTTTGAAAGAGATTTATCTCCCTGGCTTGCGGGATTACGTTAAGAGTCACTACCCATTGGGCCCCGCGTGGAGTGCTACAGGGAAAGTAGCTGTATCTGCACCACCAAAAGCTCCCGCACCAAGTCGTCCCATGCCTCCTCCACTGCCACCAGCTTCTTTATTCAGCTCGGAATCTCCCCAGGCTTCATCATCACGCCCCAAGAAAGGGATGTCAGCTGTTTTTGATGAAATTAATTCGGGGAAGCCAGTCACCGGTGGTAATGCTCTGCTATATTCCCTCCCTTTTTAATGTAAGACAGTTTTACCCTTGGGTTGATTTTTTTTGGGTCCAGGATTGAGAAAGGTGACAGATGATATGAAGACAAAGAATCGTGCAGATAGAACCGGTGTCATTAGTGCAGGAGAAAAGGAACGTCGCGTTAGCTCACCATCTTTCTCCAAAGCTGGACCTCCAAAACTGGAGCTTCAGATGGGTCGTAAGTGAGTAAAAATTCTTCTTTCAATTGATCTATGCTTGAGATTAGGAAAATATGTTTCTGACTTTGTTGTCTTGTTTCCTCCAAGATGGGTGGTTGAGAATCAAATAGGAAGAAAGAATCTAGTCATTGATGATTGTGATGCAAAGCAATCTGTCTATATTTTTGGGTGCAAAGATTCAGTCCTGCAGATCCAAGGTAACTTTATTTTCCTTCTAATATGAAGTAGTGGCACAAACTGGAATGGTGTTGGTTTTCAGCGCTCTAACATGCAGATGATCTCATTTGATGTCACACAGGGAAAGTCAACAACATAACAATTGATAAGTGTACTAAAATGGGAGTTGTATTCTCGGTCAGTGATTGATTTTAAAAGGAGGGTTGTTTAAGTATTGGAGGCTATTATGTTCTGTACCAAATTGCTTAATTTGATTTATAAATTCCATGGACAGGATGTTGTGGCAGCTTGTGAGGTTGTCAACTGTAATGGTGTGGAGGTTCAATGTCAGGTATCCAAATAATGCTTCCTCAGAGGTTTGTTAATGTTTTTATTGGAATTTCAGTTTTATGTATAATAACCTCATCATTTTATTTGGCCCCTTGTGTGGGCACTTTAGGGTTCAGCACCGACTATTTCAGTTGATAATACAACTGGATGCCAATTATACTTGAGCAAAGATTCTTTGGGGACTTCCATTACAACAGCCAAGTCAAGTGAAATTAATGTTTTGGTTCCTGGTGCAGGGGCTGATAGTGATTGGGTATGTTCTTTCTTTTCTTTTTCTTAATTATCTATTCATTATATTTTTTTTGTGCTTGTGCTAAGTGGTAAGCATCAAGATCAGATGGGATGAAGTTAGAAGCTAACTCATCCAAGTTTGGACATATATTTGAAGTGAAGTCAGAAAAAAAAATTGAATCAGAAGTTGGCAAAAAGTTTCTTTAGGTTGAAATTGTGCATGGATATTTGGTAGTTCTTTGAAACAAATGAGGTTTGTGGAGATCAGTGAGTAGAAGTAGATTTGAAAAATTCAACCACAATTCAACTTGAAATTTTGTTTGCAAGCTTAATTTTTTTTTCTCAGTTTCACGAACGCCGGCTTGCAAGGTGGAACCTCTTTATGTGAAAGTGGGGTCATTGACAAATGCCACCTTAGTGTTTTGCTACATGGCAGGACAGAAAAGGAGCTGTATCAGCTCGTAATCTGAGTTTCTGTTCAGTGTTTCAAGCACTGTTTCTGTATTTCTGGCGGCCTTAAATCTCTCTGTATTTCCTGTGTCGATCTAACTAGTTCCTTTTTTGGGGTATAAGTTCGAACTAGTTTAACGTATGGACAATTATTGCAGGGGGAGCACGCTTTGCCACAGCAGTTTTCTCATGTATATAAGAGTGGCCAATTTGTGACTACACCCGTCTCACATTCAGGAGGTTAACCGGTGACAATCTCCACCTTCGTATGCCTTTTCTTACTATATACCAATTTGATTTTTCTAGAAGAGCTCAAAGGGTGGTTGATTATTTTCTTTGTTGAGTGTAAGTTATGTTCTGATCATTGTATCTTTTGCCTTTTGTCCACATCCTATGGTGGCTATTTTTTCCAAGATGAGACTCTGTGACCTTTTCCTGTGGTCACACGTCTGGCTTTTTTTCTTCGTTTTTTTAAAAAAAAATTATTTTGTATGAAGAGCTTGATTTTTGTAAGGTATAAATTTTCTTGGCAGATATCCCTTTTAAATTTTAAAATAGTGAAGTGGTCCAGCGTTGTTTAGATAGTTTAACACCATTTCTTAGCAAAAAAAACATGCGCTATAGTCTTATATTGTATTTGACAAGGGGAGGCATTCTCTGTAACACAGATATCCGCTCCCATTGCCCAATTTTTCCTCTAATACGTGCATTTAATGAGAGCATGTTCAGTTTCTGTTTTACTTATTTCTTTTCTAGCTTAAACTTGCCTATCAATTGGTACATTAAATAACAAGAATCAAGAAACACAGCGCATTGATTGATAAATTATGTGCACAGCTGTTGTATTAAATTCCTAAAAACAAAGAACTCAACTTACACACAAACTTAAACCCAGAAAATTGCTATGTACTCGGACTGCATCTGACGAACAGATATATATACATTTACCATCGTCAATCTAACCTATGTTTCATGATAATTTACACACACACAAACAAAAACCTATTTTAATTTTCAGTACCTAAAGGCGAAAACATCCCTTTTTTAAGTCTAGTATAAAGGTATGTTTTGCGTCTGCAATTGAGCCTTGGACTGGACATACTCACCAGTTGACCCATGTTCACTACTTGTGTATTCTTCACTTGATATTTCAGATTTTTTCGACTTTTTAATATTGCCGTATGATGAACCAGCTCCATCACATTCTGAACTTTCTCCTGATCCATATATTCCTGGCGTTGATTCTCTATTTAAATCATTCAGTAAAGCAACATCACCTTCTAAAGTACGTACAATCTGCAAATTAAATACGAATATATCATTATCTTTTCCATGGTGATTGTGAGCATAAAAAATAGAACTAACTTGACTCATTTTTGGTCGTCTTTTTGAAGAATGTCTAATGGATGCAGCAGCACAAGTGACCATGCATAACATTTGTTGTCTATCAAATTTTCCTTCCAAACGCGGATCTATTAATTCATCATAATTTCCACCTTCCATTGCACGATTTAGAATTGGCCTAGCCTGAATATAGCAATATAAAAATTGATGTACATTCTTTTTCTGATATTATAACATAACATTGAAAATCTACGTACCCAATCAACTAAGTTATCACCGTCACTGTTGACATCAGTAGGACGATGTCCCGTTATAAGTTCTAGAAGCATAACACCATAAGAATATACATCAGATTTTTCTGTCAACTTTCCCGTCGAAGCGTACTCTGGTGCCAAATACCTGGAAAAAAAAAACATTTCAAATTCTATTCAACTTTTTACAGTAATTCATAATTATCCTCAGGTTGAAATTTGTTAAATTTTAGATTGTTTACCCAAAAGTTCCCATGATACGAGTAGACACATGAGTAAAGTTATCGGCTGCAAGCTTAGCTAACCCAAAATCAGCCACCTGATGATACATAATTTTTGTTTAGAAATTGTATTACCGTATTATAACTTTCTATATTATGGTGTAAAATAAGCTAATACCTTGGCTTCAAAGTTGTTATCCAGTAGGATATTTGCACCTTTAATATCTCTGTGAATAATTCGAGGATGACCTAAAATTTATATAAGACCAATTAGCCTTCAAAGGAAAATTATATATATTATCCAAAGGGAAAATAATAATAATAATTATTGACTTACAATCTTCATGAATATAAGCAAACCCTTTAGCTGTTCCTGTTGCAATTTTAAGCCTTGTTGGGAAATTCATCACTGGGTTTCCAGATCCTACAATTATTATATATATGTTAAATGAGATCTTATAACTGTATATGTTATAATATTTAACGTGTGTATATATATATATATATATCATACCATGAAGGTGATATTCAAGAGTGTAATTAGGAATAAAGTCATAGACAAGCATCCTTTGAGATCCAGCAATACAATAACCAACTAAAGGGACAAGATGTCGATGATTTACACGGCTTATAGTTTCAACTTCAGTTTGAAATTCCCTTTCTCCTTGTCCACTATTTGATTTCAAACTTTTTACGGCGATTTCTTTACCATTAGGTAAAATTCCTTTATGTACATATCCAAATCCACCTTGTCCAAGAAGATTGGACTTGGAAAATCCCCCCGTCGCATTTGCCAAGTCATCATAACTATAATGTCTTTGGTTAATAAAACCAGAAGATAAATTAGATGGTGATGCCACATTAAATGTTTGTTGTTGATTGCTTGAGAAATTTGAGGAGCTTGTGTTGCTCATTGATGGTGGTGGCGGTGGTGGTGCTAATGGCCAATTATATTCTGAGCTAACTCTACCACTAGTAGTTGTTGGGGGTATCTTAACAACATGTTCGCTAGATCGGACACTATAGTTGTCATCATAATCATTTCCTGTTCAAATATATGAAAACAACAAGAGATTAGATATTTCTATATATTAATTATTCTCAAGTGCAATTTAACATTTTTATAGAAAGTCATATACTTTATTATAAGTCATTAATTTCACTGTAGTTATATATTCATGATTATCTTTTTAAAATGTTGTTAGTGTATGCAAAATTTTAGCACATTGGGGTAATAAGTTGGACTAATTATGATAAAACTAATGATAGAGCTTATGATATACTCAAATTCAAACACTATAAATATATTTCAAATTGTGATCAATACAAGGAAATGATAAAAATAAGAAGATATATGGATTATTTTCATATTTTCCATCATGAATTTATATAGCAAAAAGATGATCTCAGAAAGAAAAAAAAACACATTCGAATATAATTAATAAAAAATACGCAAGGTAATTAATTAATTAAAAGATGAAAAAAAGAATAGATTTATACTCTTGTGTCTATAAGAATTGTCCATGTATAATCCCATTTGATCATGTGGTCTTCTTCTTCTTTTCTTTTTACACAAAGATATGAGAAAAACTAGCATAAGAAGTAATAATAATCCAACAGAAACACCAATTCCTATAAAAAGAGGTTTATGATTATTATTGTTGGATGAGTCTCTATCTATTTTTTGGTAGTGGTGGTGACTTGTGTCCATGAGGGGTAAGTGGATGAGAGCCGGGAGGGGGTGGTGGAGGGGGTGGTGGTGGGGGTGGAGGTGGTGGTGGCGGAGGTGGAGGGGATTGTGATCCTTCTTTAGATGAATCCGACAATTTAATACTATTATTGTTGTCGTTGTTATCATTAGAAGAAGAGTTGTTACTATCTCCAAATAGTGGATTGGATAATGAATCCTTGTTATACAAAGAAGATTTAAAATTTGAATGATAGGAGGAGGAGGAAGGTGGAGATTCCTCATATTGTGACAAAAGCATTTTTGAAGAATCCTTAATTAACCCTAGCTAGGTGAAATCACATCGTATAGATCCTTGTCACTCTCTAAGAATAATTATTTTCTATAGAAAATCATACTAGATTATGAAATGAGAAAAAAATACATGCAATTGCATGGTTAATCAATTACAAGCCCTAGTATTTTAATATAACCTAATTCTATCTAAACAATGAACAAAATGATCATGTAAAACTCATATATTTCATATTATTCTTTTGTATAGTCTAGTAAACAGAGATTTGAAGAAAGAGAACGACATATTAAAAAGAATTACAGAGAACTGAGAAAAAAAATAAAAAAGATGATTGATACTTTTAGGAGAATTCCCAAAGAAAAGAAAAGAGAAAGTAAAGAATTTTTATGTGATGATAATTTTTACTATGAGTCATCTTCCCTTCCTCAATCTCCTCCTAAAGTAAAGGAATAATCACTATTTTTTTTTGTTTACTAATTTTTTAAGGAGAAATAACAAGTTTGATTCTTATGAGCTTCCTATCTTAATTTATAATTAAGTGGTATACTTATAAACAAAGAAAGAAATAATGGAACTACATTTCTTAAAAGTCTTAGTGAACTTAAATACACTATATCCTATATTCCTATTGGGAGTGTGTAAATCAAAGTATAATAGACTATATCCTAACTAAATTCGTATTCTTAAAATATTTCTATCAAAATAATAATTTGTGCTAAAAGGTAGAAATAAGAAATAAACATAAATGACAGAGTTTAAGATAAACATAAATGATGTGTTAGATGATGTGTCACTGAAGCTTCATTTGTTTCCACTAAAATTAAGAGATATGAATTTGAATACACATCTAAATATTAAAATTTGTATTAAGATTTGGGTGTTTTGATTAGAATACACATCTGAATATTAAGATGTGGTATCAAAACTGAGCACTAAATAATTAGTGTTGTTTGTTTTCAATATCTGAATGTGCAAATGAAATTGAACATTATATTAATAAAATATTATAAAATTTCGTTTCAACAAAATATATCATTTTTTGAAAGAAAAAAAAGTTCTAAAGGTTTTAATAATCATGATTTTGGAGTACTATTTTTATTCAAAAACCTTGATAAACAACAATTCACTAAAAATATTATTGCAACCAGTGTTCTTGATGTTAGGTTGTGGAGCCTGATTAATATTTGATGTATTGTCATATATTAATGTTCATTCTCCATTTATTCTCTGTAACTGTTCATACTCTGAATTATTAATATATACCTCACCGCTGTGGAAGTTTACCATGGGGTTACCACGAACTATTGGTTTCTCTCTTTCTCTCTCTAGATCTCTCATCTCTCTCTCGAAAGTTCTCGTGTTCTTCATTCATCAAGTGTGTGTGTGTGTAGATTCAATCCTAACAAATGGTATCAGAGCTAAGGAGATTCAACACGATCACTGAATATGAATAGTTTGAAGCTTGAAATCGAAAAGTTTGATGGATCCGATTTCAGTTTCTGGAAGATACAGATCGAAAATTATCTGTACCAGAAATATCTTCACGAACCGTTGACCGGGGTGAAGCTGAAATCCATGACGGAGGAGCAGTAGAAACTCAAGGATAGCCAGGCTCTAGGGTTGATCCGATTGACTTTGTCAAGAAACGTGACGTTCAACATCGTGAAGGAGAAGACTACGTCCGATCTGTTGAAGGAACCGTCAAACATGTATGAAATACCATCGGTGATGAACAAGG